TCTCCTGCATGTTCATTCTCCTGCATGTTCATTCTCCTGCATGTTCATTCTCCTGCATGTTCATTCTCCTGCATGTTCATTCTCCTGCATGTTCAGTTGCCCTGCGGTATATTGAACCACGACGACGTCTACCATTTCCAACATTGCCTCACTTGACAATTGAACAATGTCTACCGCACGGAGCCCACAGTTCGTCCTAAACGATACACGCCTTGTCGGTGCTATTCGAGTCGTAGTCCACACGACCGGAACTGCTGGGCCAACAATTAGTGACAACCACTGGTCCATCTATCTCCTTCTTCGCGACGGTGGTTCAATGCGCGTCAATATGACAGCAGAGACGGGCTACATCATTGGGATCCTAGAATGGAAAGAGCTTCAGTATATATTGACGACCTCCTCACTCCGGCACTGGGACTATCCAGTGCTGGGAAACGTTCGTGTCTGCAATATCGCATGGCTCCTTCATGAAACCAAGCGTAATCAGTATGATATGTCTGGCGGCGGCTCTGGATGCAGGTATTGGGTGTAAGTCTATCGCTTCACTTGCCCGCAGTATGCTCACCAACAAGTAGATGGGTCATGATGAGGGACTGGTCGAACAAGCACTGGATCGCAGCAGGTGCTGCTAATGAGGTTTGGCCTCATCTTCCTTTTCGATATCACAGAACCAACTCGCGCATCCCACTGAACATGGTACAAGGGACGTTTTACTAAAGTGCAGGTTAGCGTTTCATGGAGGACTACTGATTGTAGTGGGAGTTAGGGTGGTAGAGAATAGTTGTCTGCTCCGATTCAAACGTAATGGCCGAACTCTTCTGGTGCTCCAACCTATACCCCTCGTTAGGAGGATACACGGACGTCTTGGTTCGAAGCTTTACGCCATTCAACAAACAAATTCTTCTTGGTCATCACATAGTGATAGTGTCCACCGGCTTTGCTGTATGAGGTGCCTCATCAAGACTGCTCCCGGGGGTAGGGTAATAGAGAGGTGGAAGCCCGGAGGTAGGGTAATCGGCGGGATTAAAGACAAAGTCATCTCGGGGTGCACTACACCAAGGGTTAGCTACTTTGCGCGGGGAGTTTAGGAGAAAGTGGTAGCTCACAAGGAAAATTTGATGTTGTTCCACCATGCTTTGTGTACAAGGTCGACTTGGACCGCCTCGAACTGCGAGATAGATTGGTCCAGAATGACAGGGTTCGTCTCTGGCTGTTGGGTGATCAGCTGGGAGCATCTCTCGAAGATTCTCGGGTAGAATCCTGCAGAGGTCCAATCCAGCACACAAGGCGGATGATTGTCCAGCCAGAAGATATTGCGAGGAAAGAGATCCAGATGGCAAAACACCAATTCCAGGCCTTTGAAGGAGATTTCGGTCTTGGGGTCGAGAAGACGAACATTGAACCACGCCTCCATATCTTGGACGGATTCAAATGTAGGATGATCTGCGTCTCCGAAGAGGAAGCCGCGAGACGGTCCACCTCCTGTGAGTGGACCTGGTTTCTGAGACTTGAAAGATGCGAAATGCTCCAAGATCCGCGACATGGCAGCTTGGTCGGGGCCCTCGGCGATGGAATCCTTGATGACTCCTTCCATGAGATCCATGACGATATAGCCGTGCTCCTTGGAGTCCATGAAATACCGGTGCACTCGGGGCACACGCACAATGCTGGGGTCGAGCATTTCGTACGCTTTGGCTTGATTGCCGGCTTCGTCCTTGCCGAGTAGCCATCCACACTTGACGGCCAGCTGGTCAGTTAGTTTGACGACCTTGCCGCCGTACGGCACGCTGCTCAGGAGGAGATCAGGGGTGGCTTCCTTGCAGCGCTGGATTATTTCATCGTCTGAAAACGATTTCATCATTTCGTTGTAGCTGGTGGCCATGATGATGTTTGGAAGTTGGTTACAGTACACCGACTTTGGTAAAGTACATATGTAGGCAGTAGGCAAGCCAAGAGACCAAGCCACTATTACTGTACACCGCTTTCTGCAACCTGGCTTTCATACCAGGGTCAACCCCCTAACCCTCCTATCAAAGGGGTATGGGGGGAGCCCAGACTTTATAGGTGTGCCTATGGTGCCTACACCAGCCTTCTGGTTAAAGAACATGGTTGGAAATGCCTAAGTTAGTGCCTAAGTTTAACACTATATGCAACTCCTACCACGAAAGCATGAACGAGGTGAGATCGAAAGAGTTCTGCTCTCTTTGTTTTCTCTGGATTTGCTCAATTTGTGATTTATCGACAGGTATCCTTTTGACTCGACGTCCTTGTGATGAGCCAAGTGTCGTCCGCAGATGTTTCCGCATATCCTATCTCCAGAATCCTTGGTTGCCTGGGCCAGGCGAAGATGTAGATCGAGCCCTGGGCGGCTTGTCGTTGATTGATTGTTTGTGGTAGATTGTCACCAACTGTCTAATGGAATGGTTCGAATAGGTCTTCCTTCTCCACATTACACTTCTACTAATAAGGTCCTTAACTTGCAACTGGTTTAAGTTGGGGTTGGTTAGGTTGTATTCGGAAGCTCAGAAGGCTCGGGGGCCACATTAGCAGCAGCTAAGTATAGCTATAGTATCAGCCCCCGACAAATCTACATAATATAATTCTAGCTGTTACTCTAATTGCAGAACAAAGCAGACCACCTTCATGTCGCGTAATATGTCGAAATCGGTTCAGAATGCTATATGCAATTAAAGGATTCTCCTAATTTAATTGAACAACGCAACAGCATAAAGCCTTATGAAGAACGCCGTGCCGAAGAAGCCGTGATGTTATTAGCCTCTGGGACTGTCCTGGTAGCTTTTGGAGCCAGAGCAAAGTCGACTTATTTGGACTTTTTAAGGAAGGTTCACGATGCCGCAGGTTCTAACATGGCTGCCCTTTGTGTTGTCGGACTGTGAAGAGCAAAGATTGGCGAAACCATCCAGGTCGAAATCAATGGCGTCTTTGCTACGTGAATGAATACAGATACCCTCTCGTAATGATGGATGAAGGGCAAAGACGACAGTGATATAGTATGGCTGGCGAAGAATATCATTCCGTACCGGGACATGCAACTTAACAACGTCGTAATAATCTCGACGCATTCATCGACCACGTGTTCATTAAGAAGCTATCAACCTGAGCTGGTAGCATCAGCAATGAAAGAAAGCCACCTTCCTGTCCAGCGACGTCGAATAATACAGCTCTCATATGGGATCCGTACAGCCTCGTTGCTATTCCGACAATCCGACCATGCCTTCGTCCCAAAGCAGATTTCTATCATGGGTATCATAAACGCAGTTCACCATTCCCATCCCAATAATGCTATCGTGAATTGACCCGCTGCAAGGGTCACCGAAGTCGACTGCGGTGAGAAGCGCTCGTTCAAGGTAAAGGTCTCCCGTCTGGGCGACAACTTCCTATCTGTCCTCAATGACCGGGCAGGATAGCACAGGATGTCGGCGTACGCGTTTAGAAACCATGGACCTACGAACAGATCAGCTCCAGCACGATTCGGGATTATGCGCAGGACTCACCTTGATAGTCTTTGCGTCGAGCTCGAGGCCATCTTTGGCAGTCAAAAACTCTTGGACATCTTTGCGTTGATCACCCTGGAGCTGAATCACCTCCCCCATTTCGCTATCTGTGACGATTGTGCCATTGCAAGCTAGGATCGTCGTGAGTCAAGGTCCTTGACACAAAGAGATATCCGTCACATACCGAATTTCTTCTTGATGACCTTGAGGATCTTCTTCTGATCAAACTTCTTGGGGAGGCCTTGGACGGTTGTCAAAGTCTTACGACCATTGCGCTCTGCACCGACGCGTTAACCTGGCGTTTATTCTTCTTCTCGAAGGTGATTGGATCTTACGTTGGATACGTATGTGGATGTAGTTCTGGGATTGCTTCGCGTCCCCAGTGTCGTCGTCGGCCTCCGCGAAGGGGTCTGTTTCCAGGAGAGATCAGCAACACATCACAGGCGCAGGCAAAACGCATCCGGGAATATGGTGATTCTGAACAAGACACCTCTTCCTGGTGGTATACAATCTACTGTTTCACGGGCACTGCTGATAGCATCCGCTGGCGAGCAGATGGTGGGCCATTGGTGGTGGAAGTGAGGTGGCGAAGGCGGGCTGAGAGAGGGGGTGGCTTACCAAAGGTTTTGAGGTTTTGGATAGTTGACATAAACTCGTCTGTTGAAAAGAACCTGATTGATTCAAAGTAGGACGAAGGTCGGCGGTGATATATTCGACGGTGGAACTGGAAAAGGACGGAGTTGTGGAGTGGAGAGTGAAGCTGGTGGTGGGCAACTGTTTTGAAAGGAGGAGAGAAAGAATCTTGGGTAAGGAGACTGACTGCGTTACTGATAAGTGTGGCGGGGGAGGTGACGAAGAACTCGAGAGAACTCTCTTTCTTTTCCCACTGCACTGGCAGTCAGGCGCAGCCGCCAAGACCCGTGACCGTGGCCGTGGCCGTGGCCAACAATCTCCACTGGCACTGCACTGACTGCACTGCACTGCACTGCATCGTGCCTGTCATCAGTATTATTACTCAGGCTCGGGGCTGATCTATGACAGGTCTAACCCGACGGCAAGCAAACAGTACCAACTTCCAGTACCTAAGATTCCTGGTAGGGAGGCCCTAAGGCGCCTAGGTCCCTTATCATGGTGCCCGGAGGACCCGTACCTCCATCGCTATAATTCCCGGTCCCCCTTTAGTATGCCCGAAATACCACATGCAATGCGGAACGCGGTCGTGACTCTCCTTTGCACGCACAAGTCTTCAGTATTGTTGATACAAAGGTACATAATGCTTGACAAGTCCGCTTGTTGACTTCCGAATATGTTTCTAGACTGATTCGCCACAAGTAAAACCCTGGGGTACACAAATATGTGCCATTCCTCCAAGTCCATCGCCCATCTATGACCAGCCATTCCCACGACTCCTAAGTCGAGCCGACGGGCGGCACTGCAGCTGCTGCACCGCTTGGGTTCGGTGGTGGTGGGAGAAACAATGGCATGTACGTCTAGATGATCTCGTCAGTTTGGGTCAAAGCAGATGGTTTTCCGTGTCATACCACAGTGACAGCAAGAACTTTTGAGGATATTAGCTCCATTCCTAAATGCGGCCAGACGATATGCACTCACCTGCCATGCCAAAGGACAAATATCCTGGTGTACCACTGCTTTGTCGCTGTGCTGGGGTCTCACCCAGCCAGTTGAGGAGAGAGGTCAATAGCGAAAACCTGCATCTGTCAAATCATGGCTGGTTCCGAAGTAGCGTATCGCCTTACCAGCCGAGCATTCTAGTCATGTTCGTCAGCAACCAACATTCGCGCGTAGAAGAAGCCACACTGTCTTACCTATTTCTGGTAAACATCTGTCAATGGCAATTAGAACTCGGCTGTCTGCAGGAAGGACTGTATACTCACGGCCGCCATGGGCATAGTGCTCGTCAGCGTTGAGCCAAAATCGGTAGGCTTTTCTTCTTTGGGCTCGACATATGGTATGACTATCAATGGGTGAGCTCGTGTCACAGGGGATCTGTGCTGTCGAGGTCGAACGAACCGAGATCCGCCCTCCGCATATCTTTCTTCGTAGCCATGGTTTCGGCTGAATGAACAAGGAGGTCTGTCGTTGCCTTCTAGAGAGATAATACCCCAGTATAGCACCTGAGCAAAGGTGGATTTGATACGGACTCTGTAGCTGTATAATACGAGGCGGCCATGAAGGATGCCATGCCCATCATGATCGGCGGAAGAACCCCGGCCTTGGCACAATCAGGCGATATTAGGGCGGCATGGCTACAGTCCCAGAACGGATTGGCTGCCAATCTGCCTTGGCGGTCACTTGGTACCGACCTACTTGTATCCGTACATGTAGCCTTCTACTCACTACTCGCCATCGAATGCGTTCCATGGTCTTCGTCGATGTTCATCCCTAGGCTTTGCAACAGATGTCGCGGACGGGAGATAGATGCAGTGCGGAGACGCTCTTCGAAAGCTACATTTTCATCTTCTTCCATGCGATCCAGCGGTACCATACATATAGATAACCATCAGGAGCTCTTCGAATATACATCTGGCAGATGGCTGTGCGTGTTTTCAAGGCGTTGATGAGGCACCACATAACTGTCTCACAGGTACAATGAGCCCCTTCGTCTTTCAGAGCGAAGGCTTGTCTTCAACGTCAACGAACTCAAAAGGACCGTCGCCAAGTGCCTACATCAGCCAGAGTCCGAAGTCAAGGAACTCTTCAAGCTCTCAGAGGGAGGATTCAATCGTGTATTTCAAATCAGAATGAAAGATGGCTCCGAAGTACTTGCCCGCCTTCCGTACCCTTCAACAAAACCCAACCGATTCGCCATAGCCAGTGAAGTTGCAACTCTCGACTTAGTCCGTGCCAATGGTGTACCCGTCCCCAAAGTCTTGGGATACTCAACCGATACTGACAATCCTGTGGGGACCGAGTTCATGATCATGGAGAAACTCCCCGGCCGTCCTGTTGGTGATATGTGGTTCGAACTGTCCGAGCACCAGCGTCTCAAGCTCATCTCCGGAGTTGTGCAAACGGAAGTCAAGCTTTTCAAGACCGATCTGCCGGCATATGGTAGTGTTTACTACGAGCGCGATCTCCCTGCTGACGTGCCCCGTACCGTCATAACGCCCTCTTCCGGCAACGAAGGACTATGTATCGGCCCGCACGTCGGCTTGAGATGGTGGTACAAAGAGCGTGACTCAATTCGCGTTGACCGAGGCCCCCGTGAGCTCTCTTTTTCTTTTGGGTGATCTCTCTGTCCGTCTCCCCTCGCCTGCGTGTGCACGTGTGTGTGCGGGCCGGGGGCATCATGGATGAGCTTCACGCAACGCTCGAAGCTACATGTCTAACTGACAAGTGTTTTAGACTCCTCTCCACTCCAGGTACTTTCATGCGTCGCTGCCAAGGAGTTGGCATGGCTCAAAGCTTTTGGGCGTCCACGCCTCCCGTTTGAGCGAGCATATCGTGAGTGCATGAACTACCAGAAATCCCAACCAGAAGAGCACATCGAAAGCCTGGAGAAGTACCTGATGATAGCGCCATACCTGGTGTCACAAGAAGCAAGATTTCACCGGCCAATCTTGCGCCACCCTGACCTCCAACCAAACAATATCTTTGTTTCTAAAAGTCTCGACATCGTCGGAATCGTAGATTGGCAGCATTGCTCTATCCTTCCCCTGTTCCTCGCCGCTTCCATTCCGAAGTATTTCCAGAACTATCATGATGAAGAGTCATTGCAATTCGACCCACCAGAATTGCCCGATAACCTTGCTGAAATGGATGATGATGAGTACGCTGAAGCTTCGGAAAGGTTTAGACGGCGTCATCTTCATTTCTTTTATCTGGGCTTCACGCAACAGCTTAACCCAGCCCATTTCGAAGCTCTAGATAGGCGCACAGATTTGTTGACTCGAAAAATCTTCGATCACGCGGGTGAGCCCTGGGAAGGGAACAGCATCCCTCTGAAAGCAGATCTCATCCACACAACACAAATCTGGCCAAAACTCATGGAAGACATCGGATACGATGAGAAGGTGATGCCTCCATGTCCTATATCTTTCTCAGAACTCGATGTCCAACATACCCTTGCTATCCTACAACAGCAAGAGGATACTGATACACAACTTGAAAAAATCCAGAACGCAATTGGAATCAACGCAGATGGATGGACATCCAACGAGGAGTACGAGGGCGTTGTGGCACGGGCGAAACTCATCAGGAAGCAGGGTTTGGAGAGCCTAGATACTGAAGAGGAGAAGGAGATGACATCGAGGCACTGGCCGTTTGATGATTTTGATGAGGAGGAGTGATATTTGGTGAAACCAGATACCAGCTGAATATCGTGAAGGCCGTGAACAAATCGTCCGGCGGTTGAAACCGCGTAGTGAATGTGCAAAAGACAGCCTTTTGAAAATCGTGAAGAGTCAAGATCGAGCTGGGTGTGAGCACAGGGCGGCATCACCCTCGTCCCAATGGGGGGTGAGCTCGATGCCGTTTTTACTTCCCTTGGCAATGTTTCGGCCTTCCTCGAACTTCTTGCATATCTTGCCTGCGAAGCTTTGTTCCGCAGCCAGAACCTTTCCTTCAAGTTTGACCTCATGAAGTGGCTGTGACCTGTGACCTGTCTTTCCATTGTCCATTCGTGTCTTCAACTCCACCGAAATGTCGCGGCCTGTTTTGACGGTCCCCACGAAGGCCGTAAAGATCTCTTCCTTCGCCTTCGCCTCGGTGGGACAGAACTCTCGAATATGTTCTCAGTGCGCATATCGTCTATCGTCTATCTCTACACGCTCATTCTCCACCACGCGGCACAACAATGCGAAACTCGGAGGTCTTCTAGATCACAAGAATCTTGATTCGAAACTCCCCAAGTCGCATTCCATGAGAACCCGCATGAAAGATGCGGGCAAGCAAGAGTTGGGCAATGACCTAGGGCGAGTGCCCATGTCGCTTGTAATGCCTTCCATAAAAACATTAAGAGAAGGCTTCAGTGGCCAGGTCGGCAAGTTGGCGAAGGTGTACTGGTTCAATCTCAAAACCTCCGTGACGGATTGGTACGGGTATGCGAGACCTATGTAGCTCCGTCGAGCATGATTCGCAGGCTGACTTTCGCAGAGTATTTTACTTTCGATGGTGGGATGCACAAAGGGATCCCACGACCGGGAAGAAGATGAGAAAGCCGCTCGAACTCGGGGAGAGACACGAGACTGCGCGACAGTTACACCAATCGTTCAACAGCGCCCTGGCTAGGGGAGACGTTGCCGAACTCGAGCAGATCGCCTGCGATGGTGTGCTGTCTCAAGCGAAGAGGCGGATTGAGCTTCGCCAGAAACGAGGCTACCCTCCCGAGAAATGGCAGCTCAGGATGTACACGGGATTGAAGTACCCGAAGTGGTTGGAGAAATGGCCCGTCTCCGTGCTCCTGCCCAGGGCGAGTACTCGAGTGGTTTCGGACAAGCTGTCCCCTCTGCCTCTCCCAGAGTCCTACATCCGTCAATGCGTTGTGCGCATCCGTTCTGTCCAAACCTACGAACTTGCCACCGAAGAAGACCTGAAGATATCAAAGCACACCGAGTACGTTGTGATGCAGAAACTCACATTCAAGGGAGAAGACGGGCCGTGGCGGATCTGGGGCACCGTCGAACCGTCCACAATTCAAGAAATCAATGACATGCTGGAAGGACAAGACAGTCAATCGAGCTTTACGGAAAGGTTGTCCAATTTAATGTCTGGCGGATTTCCTGGCGGGCGGCTAAGCTAAAGTCCGTGGTGGAGAGTCCGTTCTACCTTGAAGCCACCTGAAGCCATATGGTCGTTCACCAGAAGTCTGTACAAAAGTCCACCTGAAGCCATATGGCCGTTCACCAGAAATCTGTACAAAAGTTTACACCAGAACTATACTACAACCTTTAATCTTTGCCCACGGCAACGTCTGTTCCAAATGAGCCTTGGTTTATGTCACCTGCCGCTACATTGCAAGATTCAGCTGAAACATGACTGGTTTCCATCTCCAAAATATCGTCGGTCGGAGGCATTCCTTGGGCCGAATCGAAATCCAGACGCTGCCGAAGACGGTCACACCAGACTCTCGGACCTAAGCACCTGAGGCCTCCACCAGGCAAACTCACCGGGAACACGGCTCCAGTTGTACCTTGTCAATGTCCCAGAAGAGACCATCTGTGGAATAGTCTCGAAGCTGCATACCTAAGCATATGTACAGCCCTTCTCATCTCGATCACGCTGGAACTGCAGGCGGCCTCCTATCGTCCCATGCACCCACTGATGTGTCTCCCAACAATTCGAGACTGGTACTGGCGATGGTAGACTTACCCCCCAGATCCAGATCCAGATCCAGATCCAGATCCGCACCTGTCTCCGTTCATGTCAAGACGCGCAGCAGAATTACCGAACTGGAACATCTCGGTCTGGCTTCGTTTCAGTATGACAGAGATTTTGAGCAGTAGCGGCTCGGCCGACCCAGTCCTTCAATTTTGTCTAGTGTAACTACCTTACGGGTCGACATTCACTCTTGGGATGGAGTGATGCAAATGAGGAGAGTACTGTATCTCTGTCTGGTAATGGAGTGATGCAAAGGAGGAGAGTACTGTATTTCTGTCTGCTACATCACGACATAACATAGCATTGCAGAAAGGGATATATATATACCTGGCCAAGTTTAGTCCACTAATTACTTGACTTTTCGATCAATGTCATGCCTACTTTCCTAGTGCGCGAGCCTCGCTCTTTCTACTAGGTAGTCACAAGACCTCTGTCTACGTGAACAGAGAGTTGCTTCTGCTTCTGCTTCTGCTTCTGCTTCTGCTTCTGCTTCTGCTTAGATCCAAAGAGGGTTTGTCTGCTTCTCTGACTTGGAGACAGATCCGGTTGAATCCTATTACATCTGCCTGTCTGATCGCCTTGCAGCCTAGCAATGTCGTAGCAAACATAACATATAAGCGGACAGACTGTAGTCTCTTACATAGGCAGGTTGAGCTGAGTGGTGCCACTACGGACAAAGAGGTCAATGTGGTCAGTCCGGAGACAAAGCCGTCACCACGTGGCAGCGGAGAGCGAACATGTCGTACTGCTCCCAAGGTCAACCAAGGTTCAGCTCTGCCAGTTTCCACCTGTGTCCTCTTTGCTCGATGGGTTGCTAGCAATCCTGCTTGATGAGACCGCACTCTGCCTGTCCATAGTCGCCGCAGATGACGCGAAGTCATGATACTTTAGAAATAGGTTTGTAAAGGCCATCCTCTGCCTCGAACCATTTCTTGCCCTCTTGTCCAATTGAATACAAACCAGTGGTCAGCCGAATTGGGCACAAAACTCCTCTACGATGATTCTCCTTCCATGTGTGCTGCCGTCATGTATGTATGCAATGCGAGGCCGAGAGAAGTCATTATACGTGAAACGTAACATGTTGTGCGAATCCTAGAATCGTGGCTCGTAACGTCGTAAATGTTGGGGGGGAATTCCTGTCCGATCCTGTCTCTCGTTGGTCGCTGGACAAGGCAGTTCTTGTCACCGTCTGCTCGGATTGGCTGTTATGAAGAGGCGAGCCCCAGGGCCCCTGTTGAATGAGACCCCATTTGAGCATGCAGCATGTGCATGTATGGGATATCATAACCAGGTGTGGCTGAATTTGTAGCGAGTGTGACGGGGAAAAGAAGCGAATCCCAATAACGTACTGAGGTAGGCAGAAAAGCATCCATTTCATGATGGTACTACCCTGGCCTCCAGGACCTAGGAAAGTTTTGAATATCTCAGCGAGCTGATGTCGTCAGTATTTTACATGTATCATGAACGCATTCGTCGTTTTCTCCCTCGGGACGCTCCGTCGGGTCGTAAATTGAGAACTTCACGGAGTGCAGGATCATCGAGATCTCGGTCCTTGTGATGCGCTCGAACGTGGCGCTGCAAGTTATCAGGCCGAGGATACCGGTGCTGCTGGTCAGGACAGAACGGGCAGGCATAACCTGGAGACATGTGCACTAGACCGTGCCTACGGGGGCATATGGTCAGCTTGACTGGTTCCCCGAGTACATCACCTATCGTCTCACCTAATCATTTCATTTTTCCTCTTGAAACCTTCACCGCCAGGCCCTCGCCGACAACCCTTCACGGGACAGAAATGAGTCCTTGTGTCGGAATGGACGTTCATATGACTGTTGAGCAGATACTGTGTCTGAAATGGAGCAGCATTGCAGCCTTGGAATGTGCATTGATATGTGCCAGCAGGAGAAACTCGACTAGAGTTTGCAGCGTCGCTCGATGGTAGCTCAATGGCGACCTCAGATTCATTGTTGGACTCCTCGGGCTCTGGATCTGGCTTCCGTGTCTTCTTTGTCCTGGGTTTGGCCTCCCGGCTTGTATCCTGGCGTACCGGTGCCCTCCGTTGCCTTAGATCGTGGACTATCGCTAGTGAAGGAGTCGAGGTAGCTGGGGACTCTGCCCATTCTGACGTGACTGGGGTTGAAGTAGTTGCGACAGTTGCCAACGTAATTTCCGAAGCTGTGGAAATGGAGCTATCTCTGGTTGCAGTTCGAAAGCTGTTATGCGTAGGCGGATCTGGGGGGGACATAACAGACTTAGGGGACTGGAACGATGGCGACGTTCGATATTGATGTAGTGAACTGGGAGAAGGTCGACTGAGGCCGGGAGATATGCTTGGAAAAACAGCTGAACCATGTTCAGGGATATTGCCTATGGTTGTCCTAAGCGACGGAAGTGTCAATTTCGGTCGCGGTGAGGCTGCGGGCGATGACATTGGTGGAGACTTTTGCATGGCAGGGAGAATCACGTCCGGATCGACATCCTGAGGTGTTATTGTGTATCTTCCCAAGGTCGGCGACGTGACGAGCGATTCCTCATCTTGCCGCCCAGCCTCGAGCAGCAGACGTAGACGAGGTGGAGATCTGGGAGGGGGACGGACATCCCATGTTCTCTTTGGCATGTCATGATGTGAGAGATGTCCAGTCCCCCGATCCAAAGCAAACCGGCTGCTGTCAGGTACATGCTGAGATGTAGCGATTGGTGAGTGAAGTGGTTCTTCATTTGTCAAGCTCTCCGGGGACCCATCGATCATAGGAAAATCGTCCTGCGTGTTGGTCCTGATTTCTGGTGTAATGCTCTTGGGGTAAACAAACGACCTCCTAGTAACCTGCCGGGGTGAGGCTATTGTGTCGTCTTCTCCTTTTGATTCTTGTCCACCTCCGTCATCAATCTCCTCCTCTTCTGCCTCAGACTGGCTTGCGGAGGCCAGGGCATGTCTCTCGGCTCTGTTCGCTACCTCGACTAGATTAGGATCTAGAGAAGTTATCAGTACACCATCACCCAGGGTTGGAGTAGTCCGACCCTTTCGAATTCTCCTAGCCCTCGAAGAGCGAGCACCGTGCGCATGTGTTGACTCTTCGTCAGAAGATTCGGACGATGGATAGTAAGGGACGAGCGGCCGAGGACTCGGTTGCGGTATTAGGATCGGTCTTGTCGCTTCCAGGGGAGGTGTTCTGGAAGGCTGCAGGAAGTCCCTTTCTAGGTTATAAACCGAGTAGTCGTTGGGATCCTGATCGTTGGACATGAGTGACCCGAAGAATCACATGGTAGGTCTGGACGGAACTGGGGTAATTCGGCAGGGCAAAGCCCTCGGCCGCGGTATGAGATCCTCGACAGGTAGGGAGATCGCAACGAGTTTCAGATCCTATGTTCGAGGATGAGATAGCGGAGGCGTATGTCTGTCTAAACGAGAGGCCATGTTAGTGTCCGCCCTAAGTAGCAGAGCCTCGAAAGGGGAGCGGGAAAGAGAATCGTCTTTAGGAGAGCCGATGGGTGCACATGACATCAGCTACTGTCACACGGGCACAGGCCATCCTGGAGACGTGCAATGAGAGGGATGGAGGCTGAAATCTGGAAACGAAACATTGTGGGAGGGTCGGTGCTAGTGGCTGGCTGTCTTGGTCCAGACCTCCTCAGTCATCGCCGGTGTCCCGTGTATCGCGTGATACGAGCAAGAGACCCGAAAGTCTGAGCACACTGACAGCGATCGAACAGCATTGAAGCCGGGTCGACTAGGGGGCACAGGATTTTGGATGGACGGGTAATGAATTTTGGGTGCTGGCACGCATACCGGTGTACTGTAGCTTGTGTCCGCGGAGTGAGGGGTCGTTTCCGGGCGACGAGGCTCCAAAATCAGGCAGCAGCGGCCGCAGCAGAACCAAATGCGGCAAATTCCAAATTGAGGTTGATTTGAGTAACGGATATGTTCAAAGTTGTAGTGTTCAGTAAGATTAAGAGGATGGCTCGCAAGGCTGATGTGGAAATGAAGGGCGCGCTGGGAGAACGCCTCCAGGCCACTTCACCAAGGTCGTGCCGGGGTTCAGCGAGGGCACATGAAACGAAGCTTTGGAGGCTGAGCTGAGCACTGCCACCCAGAGGAGCTCGGGGTCAGCGGTTGTCGGTCGAGAAGGGTACTGCTGAATTGGAGGTCTCCCTCATGAAGGGGTGAGGGACGTCGAGCAGGGATGGGCCGTTGAGAAAAATGGTTGACCAGAGGACTGGTCAACCGATATACCCATCCATCTTGCACATGTATCGTTATTTGGACGGCTTCACGTGGCTGGATGCTATTTATTCTCGTGGTTGACAGGCCTAGGACCAAACTGATGCTTCTCTTAAAAAATGAGGCTAATAGCCATCCACACATATGGGCTTCTTCCCTGCGGCTCCCAGACCCCCCTGGAAATGTGTGCAGGCTACCGAGGCTACTGTATGTACTTGACTCCTGAGGGCTGATACCAGGGATCGATTGCTACAGTAAAAGTGTCGGGTGCTCGGCGGCGGAGGGCGAGCTCGAGATACTATTGGATTCGCACCGGGGGGAAGAGAGGGAGGGGTTGGGGACTGCAAGCGTCGTCGGTATCTTTACGCCGGCTTATGGGGATGCTCCCTCCTAGAGTTTGTTCTGCATGACTCGCGGGTACGGCCAGATGAGGTTCCGTGATCCATCAGAGGAATATGCGGTGACAAGGAAGAACCAGGTAGTCCGTACGTACGGTAGGTAAAGTATAGGTGGTAACTAGGTGGTAGGGATAGATGGGAATGAGGACAGGGTGCGGTATCACCAGTCTGCATCCTGGAAGGTGATCACGGTGAGGGGCAAGTGGCTGCCTGCGCCCGGCTACCTCACAACAATAACCACAAATGAACACATCCATTTCTCTTTCAAGTTGCGTTTCTTCCCTTGGGACACGTCACAACACAGAGTTCGACTCGTCTGCAGCCCAAGGATCTAGTGCATTGGATGCTGCAGCTCGCTTGCCATCGTCGCCGGCGCCTCCAAATTTGGGCTTCAATGTCTTCATCGCAAGCAATAGAAGGTTGGCATTCCAGCTGTATGTATGCACTGTCTGGTGATGACCTGTCATCAGATACAAATCACTCCTCCCTCTTTCCAATTCGGTGTACAGGTCTCCTTCCGGCTGTGGATCGCGGCATCTATGGGTTCCCTTGTTTCCCCCGACACGACCACCTCTTCAAGCTGCGTCTCTACGTTTCTGCGGCCATTCATCCTTGCAACCACCTCTGATAGGCGCGGTGTTCTCCAATGAGCGCAGTACGGGTCAAGAGCCTCAAGATGATCCCGTCCACCATTTTTAGGTCTACATGTCAAATCGAAGGCTGCGTTTTTCGTGCTCTCTCGCAGAAGCAATTAGCCATAGAAACTGCCAACGATCCACAGGCTTTCATTTATTGGCACCATCATTAGGTCAACCTCGAACTTCTGAGGGCTTTCAACTGACCACAAGCGAGCTTGAATTATACGAGATGGGCCTGGAAATGTAGTTGGTTGACCCATGAATATTTTCAGACATGAGTGCAATTCCAATTTGCTCTGCCAACCCCCACGCTCAGCTTGCCTTGTCTGCCGATCTCACAGATGGAATCCACGTATCGACGCCGCGCTGAAACTTCGGTCGGAAGATATTGTTTGGCAAAGCGGGCGAAATCATCCACAGAAACCTGAAACATGGTTTACTCTTCCACGACGATAAGCGATGAAAGATCTTGGTGAGAACGGCGGAATCTGCCTCAAGCGACTCCAATATGCAGTAAGAGGACCCATCAAGCCGAGTCTTCCAGAGGTTGCCATTTCGGCACCCTTCAAAGGTTAGCATTTCATCTCTGGCCAGCGTCATCCGAAATGCGCTGGCAATGTCCTTCGCAAGTTGACACTATTTTAAACGGCATGTACGAGAACCTTAAGGCTTCGTGATCCGCTTCTAGCATGGCGATCAGTCTTAGCGGGGATGCCACAACAGGTGACACCCCAGAGCTGTCTCAATCCTCTGCCCGACGGCTTCTAGGATGAAGGCTGAATTGGAATCATGGCGTTACTCACTTGGGGCTCAGGTGGGTGGCATAATCAATGGCAATTTACTCGAATACTACTTCGATAGTATTATGGAAATCTCCAGCTCTACAGGACAAATATCTTTCTAATATGTTAGATCTACTCTATGGCCTCCGATACTCGATTTTTCATCATATAAATCCTGTGTCTGGTTAATAAGACGCCGTCTCGTAAGCCGCCATCTGTTTTGACACCCACCATAAGGCCTACAGTTGTTGGATCACCTTCCTTCGAAAGCTCCTGCGAAAATGATCCCATAGACAACTGTAGGATCTTCTGGGGAGTAGGGTACCATCGCCTGCAGCTCAACCGGCAGCACTGGTGGCTCCAGTATGATTCATGAATGTCTTGCTCTCCTGTCTGAAAATCATCGTCGACACCGTTCCTAGCGACTGCTCAAGAATAGCCCAATATCGAGCGGATTGCAAGTGTTACCATAATAGTGAAGATGGATCCGATCCGTCGATCTGTAATTGAAGTCATCAATGAGCGAGCAGCGGCTGCTCAGAGTCGTCCTCGGCCTCTATGGAAAGATCGGCGTGGCCAGGATAGAGAAGGTAATGCTGCACAATGAAGATCACATCAAAAGCAATGCTGATGTTCGAAAGTCCTAGCTTCAGAGGATTTCCGGTGATGCCGCTCCAGTCACCTTGGAGACTGGCATCGATGACTAGCTGCAGCAGTGACAGAATGCCACCAGTCAGATCGAAAAGGATTTGCAGGATGCTCCATCCTTGGGTTGACTTGCGCTTGTAGTTGACCCAGGCTTGCGGAATGTACTTGACAAACGTGCAAGTGAGCTTCACATAACCCAAGGTATAAATCTGTTACATTGTCAACAGTGCTGGACAGAATGTCTCGCAATGGGATTGTCTCACCACATCGAGCCAGGCCCAGTCTAGTGGATCATGCTGCTGCCACCCTGCACGGCGCAAAACCAATATGGCAACGGCAGCAATGGCGACAAGGCTCCCACCGACGATGCCCAGCACGGGCCCGCTGGCGCGCTGACGAGAGGAGACCTTGAAGTACCAGGGCCATTTGAAAAATTGAGAATAGATCAGGAGTACCATGATGGTGGCATGCACCCCGAATGCCACATCGTTAAGCCGGACAGTGGGCTCGGGCGACGCCGGATGTCTGGCAGCATATTGCGCCCGTATGGTCGGCGAATATAGGAAACTGCAGGTCGAGATGGTGTAGCAGACAAACCCGAGGACGTTCAGAGTGGGAAAGTCGATGGCCAGGCCCAGTGTTGAGCGACGCTGCCAGTTCATCCAAGGTTGTGGGTAGAACGAAGCACTCCACGATATAGTGCTGTGCACCGCCGTCAGTCCTTGATATAGGGTGGAGGGCGATTGGGAGCAGCCGGTAGACATACTAGATCCATCCTAAGAGTCTGACGATGCAGAGTGTGAAGGGTTAGTTGACCAGGGTGTATGGACACTGGAATGCGTTTGCCGCAGGGTTGGACGGGCGCATGGCGTCGTACCTTGAGAGAGCCTGGAGAATGTGTTCATGTTGCTGGCTGTCCATCATTCTTGGACGACAAGGCTTGGACGGGGGCGGTCTGGGGGCATATGTTCCAAATATATCTTCTGGGAGATGGTAGACGCAAAGACGGGATTCCGAGTGACCTGAGATTCCAGGGTGTTGCACTTGCGTGCCGACACTGAGTCAGTGGGGTGAGAGGATTAGGGACTAAAGGACCTAGGCCTAAGCAGCCTAAGCAGAGCCTAAGCTGCCTCCGCCTGCGCCTGTCGCCCTGCACGACGCTCGAGGCAAATCTTGGCGCCTGCGCCCAGGGATTCGACTGGGATGGTGACAGCCAACTTGGTGCGGCCAGCATTGACAGCTCACAGGAAATCGAGCACCACCCTTTGCCGCATTGACTCTTGAAGTGTCGCGGAGTTATCTGTCTCTATTCTCAATTGGTACCATCAGCACAGTCGACCAGTCTTGCCATTTGGCCCTGGAATCCTATCCCAAGGTCTCTCCAAACAACCTTGTACCCCGCCTCAGACCGAGTAAACAAGAATCCGCACATCCGCCCGGTGCATCCATACACTGTCCACGAGGGAGCCCATCGTCAATTCAGCTCACCCAACGCTGGCAAGAGACGGAGTCATCTCACTGCATGGTCCAAACATCTCGAGCGTAGGAGGTCGGCCTCCAGCAGAGTCCATCCCTCGACCGTCAACGCCGCACTCGAACCATGTCGCCCTCACCGCAGCTCGCTCCGCCCGGGAGCAGCTCTTATGACTCGAGCACAATGCATGTCGGCGACGGGACCTGGGACGCAGGCAGGGATACATTCCTACTACCCAATCTTGTCGGATTGAACTTTGCGACAATGAGATACAATGGTACGGGCGCAAACTGCTTGTTGGGTTTCTCCACTAACAGCCGCAGGCATGGGGAACCGCTTCTTCACTATGAACGGCTACCACTCTCTGGTCCAAGCGCACGGCATCATAGCGGCCGTGACATTTCTCGGAGCGGTGCCACTTGCGATATTCCTTATGCGATTCTACGGTCGACAACCACGATTGGCATTGCGGCTGCACATATGGCTCCAGATCCTGACCCTGCTTCTGAGCACGGTGGTGTTTATTCTGGGATTCATGGCTGTTGGTCCGAACAGAAGCTTGACGAATCCACATCATGGCATCGGCGTTGCCATTTACGTCCTCATCTGGGTTCAGGTTCTCGGAGGATGCCTCCTCCACAGAAAAGAAAAGGGAAGAAAACGGTTGCACATTCCAGTCAGAGCCATGTTGCACCATTGGCTTGGACGTGCGATTGCTTTGCTAGGCATTGTTCAAATAGCGCTGGGCCTGACGCTCTACGGATCCCCACTATACCTCTTTGTTCTCTATGCGCTGTTTGTCTTCGCATTGCTTGTTTTGTATTTCATTCTGCAGTGGTTGGCTGAAAGGCGAAGGGCGCGATATGGGGCTGATGGAGGCAGCTATTACAGTGATGAAGTCGTTTCCAGGCCTGATGGACGAAAGCATTCCGGGCTTGGAAAATTGGCTGCAGCTGGAGCAGCAGGTGCAGCGCTGACGGCATTGTGGAGGAGACGATCCTCGGGGCATCGAGCACATGGCGGAGATGGGTTTGGACCTGACGAAAGCAGTGCATCGTACATGAGTGATGAGAAACTCTCCGAGACCTCCCACAAAGGCATTGGACATCGTCTTCTACAAGTCGCAGCCATAGGCGGTACAGTTGGGGCTGTGAGAAAGCTTTTCGGCGGCAGACACAGCCAGGACGATGATTCGGACGTCGGCCCTTACAGACCACCTCTTGGAGGCAACCAATCCGTGACCACGGACTCTATGTCGCAGGTCGAAGAAGGAAGGCCACCTGTCCGGCCAACCACACCTATGGGGGCAAGCCCAGGGCATGTGCGACCAACTCATCCTCTGGCACAGCCGCCAATGACGCCAGGCTCGGGACGAAGACATTCAGGGTCATCCTACTCCTACAGCGACTCATTTCTATCGGGCTCGCCTTCGCGGCGAGGTAGGAGGACACACACTTTTCGCGACGCCTTGGCAGCTGGCGGTACTATTTTTGCGGTTCGACAGCTGTTCAAAAACCGCAGGCAGCGGAAGGAAGATGTCCGTGCAGAAGCCTTGAGGAAACAGCGGATAGAACAAGAGAGTGTTGATCGCATGAACTCTGTTCACCGATACACCGGCGATGGTGTACCACCACCCAGACGATTGCGCCATGACAGATTAGGGAGCCAGACTGCATCTGATCTTTCAAGTGCAATGGAGAGTCGGCCGGGAACAGGAGCAGCACTACCGGTAGCAGGTGTGGGAGCAGCAGCAGCAAGCGCACTTGCGGACAGAAACAGAATCAGGCCCGTTGGACAAGACCCTTCAATAGTCACTCCGGGCCCATCCGCTACTGCTCCGGCAGATATCCCTCCTATACCTCCTCCTCATCTGGATTCGTCTGGAAGTGAGCTATACACGACAGGATCCGGTCACCAGAGGCACCGACACCACCTCGGTGACGAAGCAGCTGCCGGTCTCGCCGGTGCAGCTGCCGGGGCCATGGCCGCCGACCACGCACGCAGACGGCACAGCGGCAGGCATACCGATTCGATGGAGTCTCCGCCCGTGAGTCTCAAGGTCAAGATGCACAATGACGGGCGACACGTCACGTTACGAAGGTTGACGGAGGAGGAGGCGGCGGCGCAACGACAAGAACGACACCGACAGCGGCAAGCATCTGCCGCGAGCCGACGACGCACTTCTAGTTTCAGCGGCAGCGATAGTGACATACTGGGAGCCGGGCCCAGTGCTGATAGACGTTGGAGACGCACCGAAGCACTGGAAGCCGAACAAGCTGAGCAGAACGAGGCGGCTGCGGCAGGCGCAGCGGTCCCCGCAGGATCGACTCAAAGCCACGCTCAACCGGCATACCCTTCACCTCCCCCACCAGGGACCCAGGCCGTTGATCCCCGTACTGGGGAGACATACCATGTCCCGATGCCACCACCGATTCCGACATCAGCCAGCAACCTCGGACCAGCCGGTAGTGTTACTTCGCCTGGCACCGAGACCAGCGCGGGCACCGAGTATGCGAACAATCGGCGGCGAAGGAGGGCGGAACGGGCTCAAGCGCGACTGGCAAGGGAAGGTCGGGGCGGGAATACAGTTGACTTTACTTGAGTCAGACCAACTCGGGTCACATACGCTTGAGTTAAGGCCAACTCGGGGCGGGAATACAGTTGACTTTACTTGAGTCAGGCCATCTCGGGCCACATACGCTTGAGTCAAGGCCTAAGCCATCTCGGGCCACATACGAATGATGTCTTGTCTATGTTTCCGTTTCTCCAGTGAGGTGTGGACAATGAAATGAAACTTGGGACATGGGACATGGGAATAGCATAGCATAGCGTTGCATTATCATTGAGAGCGGAGGCAAAGCCTTGGTCAGCCATGTCGAGGTTTCTAGGCGTAAATTGAAATGGTATTGAATTGGAATTGGCTGTTTTCGATCTCATTCTCGTCTCTTTTAGAAAACCATTAGGCTGTAAGGTGTAAGGTGTGTTTGTGTGCATTAGGATGTAAGGTGTGTTTCAAACGTGTGTGCATTAGGATGTAAGGTGTGTTTCAAACGTGTGTGCGTTAGGATGTAAGGTGTGTTTGTTTGTGTGTGGTTTGACGACCCCCTTTCTGCAGAATCATGTAATTGCATACCATGAGTAGGCAAGCATAGGCAAGCATAGGCAAGCATAGGCAAGCATAGCAAGCATAGCAAGCATAGCAAGTATAGGTAGCTGGACTGGGCTGGATGGGTTGGGCTGGCTTGTTGGGCTGGGCTGGGCTGGACTGGCTGCACACCCTGACGGTAGGCAAGTATAAGGTAGGTAGCTGGACTTGCTGGGCTGGGTGGGTTAGGCTTGCTGGGCTTAGGAAGGCTTGGGCTCAGGCTGGGTGGATGGGCTGGTTGGGCTGGACTGGATGATTGACTGTATGATATGATATGCTATGTGTGTATGTACCTACCTATGTAGCAGCCACGAACATTGACGGAGATGCCTTGACTGGTACATTACATTAGGATATTGGATTCGAATACCAATCAAACAAAGACAAAGACAGAAAAAACTAACTAATTGCAAGTCCAGCATCATCATAATCATGATCATCATCGTTATCATCGTCACCGTCACACTATCAGTCACTGCACTGCACTACATGACTTGTGGCTTTCTCTCTGTCCTCGTCAAAGAGACGAATTCGGGAGAAGCGACAACACAACATAACATAAACTCTTCAGATAGGAACAACACAACACAACCCCTTCAGATAGGAGATAGGAGATAAGAAAAACCGACAGCCCTGACTGAAAGGAAAAGGAAAGAAAGCAAGAGTAGTGGAAAATATAAAAGGAGAGGTGCCGATTTGTCCTGTCCTGCCATGTCCTGCCATGTTCTGCCTTGCCTTGCCCTGCACATTCCTAAGCCTGATCCTCACGCTCTTTTCCAAGTCCAACTCCTTCTGTGTCATAGTTGTCTAGTCATATTGTCTAGTCACAGTTGTCTAGTCTTTCATGACGACGTCATTGTCAGGGGAGGATGAGGAGGCTGGCTGAATCAGATTTCCAATGGCCATGGTGGGATGGACCGGCTTTCGAGCATAGACGGTGTAGCTGTAGGTGAAGATGCACATGGTCAGCATGAATGGTTCAAAGATACCGGGGAATGATATCGAGACAATCTCCGCGGAGGGGTAGACAGAAGACATAACAGATAGGGGAAAGAATTCGGCTTGAGGGGTAAGCAGCAGGTGAAGAGTATTTATTGTTGTGGAAGAGTGGGAGAAGGGTTAGGGTTAGGGTTAGGGTTCGGGTTAGGACAAAAGAAGGGGGAGAAGGCAGGAAGGGATTACAGTAACAAGACTAGGGGAAGGGAATGGGATGGGAATGGGAATGAAAGGGAAAGAAGGTTGACGAGCAAGACTAAAAGAGAGCACAAACGCACTGTTCAAACATGAAGCTCTGGTGAGGGAATAACCTGTGCGAAGACTTGCGAAACAATTCCATCTTGTCAACGCTGTGCTTAGGTGTCCAGTCAAAGGCCATGGAAAAGAACGGAGGATCCGAGTCATCTTTGGGTCGGGAGTGGTAGAGCTTCTCCACCAAGGAGTAGAAGCGTCTGGCCAACTGCTTGTTGTGTTCCGGCGGGAACTGTTGGATGTCCTCGACGACGTCGACAAAGCCTGCATCCTTCAGGTACTGGCTGAAAAATGCCACACAGTCCATGGGAGTGCCATAGGCCTTGGACGCGGCGACGAGGGTGTCGCACAGCTCCAGAAACCCGTCTTTGTAGCGGGGAGGACTCAATTCTGGGCCTTGGACCATCACAGGCTTCAAGCTGGTACAGCTCAGTTCAACCCAGCCGCCAGGCTTGACAGAGGTGAAGATGTTGGCCACCAGACAGGGCCAGTCCTGCACCACAAACATGGGGTCTCGCATGTGGATCAGGTCGAAGTAGCCCTTCTCCCACCTCCACGGCCCGTTCACATCTTCGTTCAGGAACCGCGTGTCGTACAAGCCGGACATTGGGAAGAGAGAAATGATATCGGTCCCGATGAATCGAGACTGCTGATGTTTGTACGCCATTTCCAACACCCACCTGCCCGTCCCCGTGGCCAGGTCGAGCACTTGATGACGGCCAGGCCCGAATGGGGAGGAGAGCATCTTGCCAGTCACCTGCGCCCACCTTCCACTCTCTCGGACTTGAATGGGGTTCTCTTCCTCCGGCGGGCAGACCGGGAGCGAGTATCGGTGACGTGAACGGGCAGGATATCGTCGATCGCCCACCACAATTATGTCCGCCTCATCCGGCCTCGTCCAGAGCACTTCTTCCGAACGCCCTTCGAGCTTCACGGTTTCTGCCTCGTCCGCAGTTGTCGGGGGCGACGGGTAAGGCTGAGAAGCTGCTGCGTCTGACAGCTCGCCGTGGCTGCCTGTGACAGGAATCGACGTAGCAGGCAGCATGTCATGCGAACCCGGCGCTCCAAACATCCTGTAGTTGCCTCCCGTAAATGTATCAGTAGGTAGTGCATCGGGTATTCCATCAGGCAAAGCGGGTTTGCCGGCGAGAAACTCTCCAAACGAAGGCAGACGGTCCCGAGGAACTCGAAGCCGGGCATAATCCCAGAGCTTCGGGCGGTCTTGAAACCCTGTCGGTAGTGGATGCACTATAGAGAAGGGCTGGGACGGTGGCCAGCCAACTTGGTAGATGAATCTCGCCACCGCCTGGGTTGGTGGCAGAAGTGATGCTGCGGTGGGCGATGGTTCCCTCGGGAGATACGGTGGTGAATTGCGTTCGGAGCATGTCGAGAGGACGTGGGCAGGCCCTGCCGGAGACATCATCATCTGTCCTGACACGCTTGTTCCGCCGGACACGTTCGAGTCCGTGGAACCAGTAATCGAGGCAGGCGAGCGATGAATCTCTCGAGGTCTCAGAAGCCCCAATCCATATGGCTCAGCGAATCCCTGAGGCGGCGGCGCCCAAGAAGTCAACTGGGTCGCAGCATCAATCACCTCGTTCTCTGAGTTGATGAAACTGCCGCATCGGTCAATAAGGGCAGCGAATGGGACAGGAAGAAAAGAGTCTTACTAGTAGGATCCGTCGGGGTTGTTCCAAAGCACGGCTTGAGGGGGGCTTGTGTGAGCCATGTCACTTTGCTGTCTTGTGCGATGGTACGACTGTAGGACTGACAGGTTGTTTGAATGGGGTGCTGTCAGGGAATGTCACTGTCAACATGCTCAGGATGGGGAACGGTAAGAGACAACCTGAAGAAAAGAGAATTGGAAGAAGATTGACCAGACGGATGCGGGACTCAAGCATTTCTATCTGCCAGGACTCACTCACCTTTACCCCACCGAGAGACTCGAGCACCATGGTGGACGAACCAGCGTAGAGGAGAGGTTGAACCAGAGTTGACCTGTCGATTGACATGGGTCGGTGGCTTTGGGACCGGGAAGTTTCCCATCCTTGAGAATGAGAGTTCAGGGCGTGTGTCGATGGCGTCGCAGCTCAGGACCTGTAGACATGACGGGGAAGACGTGCTTAGCTGCCGAGAACGATACTATAGGCTGGCTTGCAGGAAGGCAACATTGTCCTGCAAGCCAGCACTCATTGAACCTGTCCAAGTCTGGGACAGGCAAACCCCCTTGCGTGTCTAGCCTCGTATTGCTCGATCATGGAGTGGACTCGAGATGATGGCTGATTGGGGCGTCACTTAATCTCTAGCCCCAGTATGCACTGGCTTGATCGCTTTCACTTCGGAACGGGATAGTGAGAGTCGGATATCGAGTTGATCTAAATCGATCAGCGGGTTGGATACATGCCAGCCTGAAACATGATCACCGCTTTCGGCTATCTTGAATACGTGAAAAGCAGGGGAAAGCATCACCAGAAGGTCCTACGGACAAACTCACCATTTGCACATTCTCCATACTTGGAGAGTAGAGCATGAGAGTGCTGAGAGTGCGGTAGCATGCCAGCGTGTTCAACTCGGTACCGAACAATTCTGAAGCACAGTGTGCCTCACTATCCTGTAGACCCCAGGCCACCTACCACAGGTTGCTCGAATGGGCAATAATTAGCCAGAGAGACTGTTGGATACGAGGAAGCCGGACCCCCGCTTTCTCAACTGCGATCAAATGCACAATGCTCACCTCCATTGGCCGCAACAAACAATAGTGCATTTTCAAAGGCAGAGGTGGCTGCAGGAGTGAGGGATTCCATCGGCTGAAGGACAGGGAGCGGCTGGCAAGCCCAGGTTCTTGTTGGCCAGCGCCTGACTGGATCTTGACATCGCTAACTAGCTCGTTGGAAAAGATGCCTACCGTGTGCGGCAGGCAGGTCTGGTTGTTCGTGTTTGACCAAACTGACCAGATGGCTTGCTGTACGGACACAGATACCCATGTTCAGTCTCGCACTACGCTTCTTCCACCCCTGCAATATTTCCTCAGAGAATGGACTAAATTAGTTGGTTCAAGTGTTTTCGGATGAGAAGGCACACCCACATCAATGCAGATGTGCCTTCATCCCTTCCCACACACACACACACATCTGAGAGGGTGGTCTGTAGCCAGGAGAATCGCTCAGGGATATATCCCAGTCCCAACAAACCTGATTTAGGCCTTGTGCAGAAGAGGGCTGTCAAGTGACAGCAACAAGTAGAGTAAGGGGGCCGCCAGCCGCATTGTGTAGCGAGCACGCATCTGATCTGCCACAGACTTTCCCATTTTGCATTAAGACGGAAAGGATGCCTAACGATATTGTCGTCGAGTTTACCGACGGACAAAGAGTTGATGACGCTCCTCTACTGGCTCGTTTTCAGCCGAGTAGAAGACACAAATGCGGAAGGTCACGTGCCGGGCGAGGCTGCAGCCTGGTAGGTGCCTGGCACTTAGCTGGTTGACTCGAGTTGGTAGACAAAGAAATCGGGAGGTTGAGTACGGCGTATTCCTTTGCTGGCGGCGATCTGGTCGACCATCTCACGATGCCGACTCCACTGTGCGATCCAGCACGTCAATATACAAGTGATCAGATCGAGAAGGCAGCAATAGTCGAGAGAAAACAAGGAAGAGGGAAAAGAAATTGAGGGGGCGGGCAGCCATTGCGCCTTCGGAGGGGAAGATTACATCAGCGGCGGCGGTGGAAGCACCAGGAGGAGGAAGGCGGGAGCGCAGCTGAAGCGCAGAGACGCTTGGTGATACTTGTCGCAGCTTTGTTAACTGTTAACGTTACAAGCGCAGAGACGCCCGGACCGGATATCGGCCCCTGTACCAGCGCCAGAGTGCCGGCGTCTTAGGCTCCTACGGCTGACTCCCAGCCTCCTGGCCCCCAGCAAACCCTCACTAACGTACCTAAACCCAGGCTGATACCACCCAAAGCCCAGTTCGCCCGCACCTTCTGTTACAGAGTCAAACTCCATACTACTACCTAATCTACCTGGTACTATACCATCTCTCTCTCTCATTCTTCCTCGTCGTCGTCCTCCTCCCCCCTCGCTATTGCTCCTCTTCCTGTCCTCTTGTTCTGTCTCTACCTTTGTTGTCTTCTTGCACCCTCTTCTTTGTGGTCCGTTGGCCCTCGACGTCCCCGGCTTCTCAGGGTGCCGCAGCTTCGAGGAACACAACCGCCGCCGCCACCAGCCAGATTTTGCCCGCTTCTGCGCCATTCGTTCACCTTCCAAATACGCCTCCGAGCGACCTGAGCCCTTCGTTACGAGCCCTTTTGCATATGAGCATATCCAGGTGCTGATGCATGCATGTCCGACCCGTTGCACTACTACCAACAAAACGCCATGGACGCCAGCACACCCACCAGCCAGGACGTCGACATGATCCTCACGACGGACGACAACCAAATACCTGTCGAACCTCCAGCCCGGCTTGCAGCACGGATCTGTCGCAAGTCGAGCGCCCGTCGGAAATCCTCCGCCAGTTCCTCTCGCCGAAGCTCTCTGTCCTCCTCCTCCGCCCTCTCGAGCCATGGAGGTCCCAATAGTACTCATATTGCCCAACATCTCCGACGAGCCTCCATCATTGAGAGCCGCAAGGCTCGGCTGGCAGACAGAGCAGCGCATGCGGAGCAAGTCAGGCTTCGAGCAGCCGCCGCGAAAGCATCCCAAAGGGTGTCTTACAGCGAGGAGAAGACTTTGGCGGCACAAGCAGCGCGAGAGAAACTGCTGGCAGACATCGCGGCACGGTGTGAAGAAGAGGTCCGGCGTGCCAAAAAGGTTGCCGAGGAAACCAAAGAGAAGAAGGCTGCCGAACTAGTCAGACTGAAGGAAGAAATGGCGGAGAAGTTCGCAGAGGCGGCACGACGGAAGTTTATATATCAGCAGGGTATGCGAAGACCTAGGACGACCTCTTTGGCGGCCGTTGAAGAGAAAAAGGCGGCGCCGGCGGTACTGAATCGCCCCAATCGTAACTATGCCGCCAAAGTCATTCAACGAACCTGGAGGAAATACCGCAGTCGCCAGATCATGCAAGCCTTTGCTGCACTTGGACTCGACTTGGCTCATGCCAGGGCCCTCCCTTTCGAGGAACTAACCAGTCTGCTTTCGGTTGAACCGACGATGGCGGTGACCGCTTCTATCCTGCGGCATCTCGGCGTGATCGAAGATCCCCAGGAAGATTCAGGAGCGGTCCGTGTTTTTCTCAGTGCCTACATCATTCTGGCCCACCCCATACAAGCTCTCAGTCATGGTGGCAACGACCCTCAAGAACAGGAATTGATGTCCAAGGCCGGAGCTGTGCTGGAGGCTTTTGAGGCTCACATCCACAGTTTAGCTTCCTCTCCGGGCCGTGCCAACGCCGCTTCAAGAAAGGATACTTTGCTCTTTGCCTTCAACGATTTTACTTCTACTTTCCACGCGTGGAAGAGCCAGGACTTGGGCGTCTTGATTGACATAATGGTCAACTCATTCGTCAACCTGGACCTGATCTTACAAGCAACAAAACATGATCAGGACGGCTACGTTGCTCAAGACTATCTGGATGCAGTGCGACAAGAACAAATCAGACTGCTTGCTCGGCTCAAGAGACTCGCGGGACCGGAACAAGCAATTTCGAGAGTCAGGTCTGCTGTTAGGAAGGCGCGGAAACAGCGAGCTGCCGCAAAACCTCAAAACAATGAGGAGCAAGTGCCGCGAGCATCAACTCCTGCAAATGACGGCCTCGCCGCCACTAAAGGGGCGCCATTGACGCCTCCTGCTACTCCGCAGCCATATCGAGGGGATGCAGAAGTGAAAGGGAGCTCATTTGCCGACAGTCTCGGACAGATTATGACCGTGTTGCCTTCAAACCGCGAAATCGCCCATGAGATCCTGATCAACGGCAGCTTCGAGGTGCAACAACGACCGTGGACCGATGCCCGGAAGGACCTGATGGAGTCTATGCGTTCAAGCATGCGCGCCAGCATGCGAGATGGAAGTACGGAGGTCATCGCCAGGTGGACCCATGCCATGGCAGTGCTCATTCGCGAGAAGTTGATGAATCTTGTCAGCAGGAGACACCCTCTCTACGACAAAATCGATGGGTTTTTAGACCCTGCATTGATCAGTCAACAATGCCGCAACGGAATGTTCTCATATAGTGCTTTTTTCCAGACCATCTCGGGTTTGATCGCGCAAATCTGCTCGCCCGGTCGCGACGAGATGGTGAGAGCATTTACTGCAAATGCCACCAGCGATACGATTGACCGCCTCTTTGAGTTGATCAATATCATCGATCTCATGACGTTGGATCACATCAACTTTCAATTCCGACTGGCCGCCCAATCTGTTCTCGAGCGCGGTCACGAACACGAGATTGCCTCTTTTGAACGGGACCTTCAAGAGGGAGTACATGCTCTCGAGCGAACGAAACAGTGGTGGACCGATGCGCGGTCCAACACGACATCATCAAACCGAAGTGGTAGTGTCATCTACGCTAGGGGATTGACCGATTTGGTGCTACGCAATTCCCACCTCTGGTCTAACGATGTGCCAGAAACGGTGCAACTCGACAGGATTCGCCTGCTCAAATTGAGGGCTCGTGTGTTCCATATGATAGCTACAGCCTCGATCCTTCTCACCACCAAGATTAGGCTCAGGCGGAACCGAGAATCCCTGTGGACGAAGGACGCGGAACGGCTGATGTCTTTGGACCTCTTGACAAGCGACGGCCATCGGATCGTCTCGCTGCTCGAATCGTCACACATGATGCCCGACTCGACGAAAGAGGGCCTGTCCAATTTTGTGGGGCGCGTACTACCTCCTGCCGTGGCCGCGGCGCAGAACGCAGACACAGCTGAGCAGGACCAACAAGATGCATCCCACGGCCAGATCACTTCCGACCCGTCGGCCGTGGAGCGGGAGAAGACGAATCCCGACGATGTCTTCAGCGAGCAGATTGCCAGCTTCATGTTGAAGTCATTGCGCGAACACGTCTTTGGTAGGCTTTCAGCCAGCGGCACCGCGGAGAGAGTCCGAACTACCACGGGCGCAGCTGAAGTCCTGGCTCGAGTGGGCATGCCTGAATTCTTGGAGGAGGTCAATCGACTGGTGGATGAGCTGGAGAGAATCCGTGCTGTGGATTTGAAAGCCCATGGAAGGTGGTATGATCAAATCGCGGCAGAGACGTCTTGATTCTGCGGATATAGTGCTCCAGTATGCCACGCACTGTTGTTTGTTTGTCGGGAGTACATACAGTACAGTATACTGGGTACGGAGAAGTATGCTCGATGGTCGGTGTTTGAAGGATGTTTGCTTTGACGACTGGTGATATATGATGCCTTTACGAACCCTTAACAGCACATAGCATATACAGTTTCTTCATCGAGAAGATGGAGAATGATGACATTGGTGATGAATTGATTCAGACATTGCATGCAGACTCTGATTAGATCTTCTCTCTACTTTCTCTGTCTTTCTCTACCTTTCTCTACCTTTGGTGTGATGTGCTGAAATAACGCAGGACGCAGGACCAGCGGAGCATACCAATCCAACCATCGGGACGGCCTTCATGTCGCCTGCCTCCTTCAATCCTCCATCCTTCATCCTCCATCCTCCATACTCAATCATGCATAAGCTGCGATCCAGGTGGCCCGACCGCTCTTGCCACCATCCAAGCCTATCCACGGGTTCAAGATCGAAAATGTATAAGTGGACAGGGGACTGCGGGAAAGAACACTGTCGTACAATCAATCCCAGGAGGAGGCCGAGAACTCTTGGACGGAACACAAACCAGACGCGAGCCCAGAGCAAGAGTACTCCGTAGACAGACTACTACATTGGCATGAAAGACTGCGACTACGACTGTGTGGAAGACCTTGTTCGTGGAACCACTCGACAGGGATCTCAGCGTCAAAAGCGCATGTGCATACGACTTTAGGAGCACGGAGCATATTTGAAACCCGCCTGCAAACCGGCAGAAACTATCTTCCGGTGGTCGAGGACCTCTCTACGGAGTACGGAGTACTCTTCCTAGCTCTCCGTACGTTGGGATGACAGCGAACTTCGAGACCAGACTGGGTACGACCATCGTCGCAGTTGCTACAACCTGGCAAGGAACACAATGTGTCAGTGTGAGAGTGTTTTACGTACCGACACCAGGCCAGCTGTTGGATGACAGCGAGCAGTAGGTGGTCCGTCCCCCATCCACATGGTCAATGCCCCAAGTCATCAGCTGCCAGTCTCCAGATGGAGGCAAATCCGCTCATCTGGGCCGATGAGTTTACGCTTCTGCGCACGCCCGTTTGAACACAATCTGTCATTTCTCGCTCAAAAGGGCAGTCCCATGCACATCACAATCTTCCAGAAGCCCATTTCCGGAGCACGGACAGTGGCTGATCGCTCCCGACTGGTATCTGCTCGTCATCCAGACGATGCAGGTCCCCAATCCGGCATGGACCGGGCTCGCTAACAGGAGGACTGAATTCGCTTGGAAACACGGCATGCTCAATGTACCTGAGGCCTAGAACTTTGGTCTGTGCCTGGATGTGACCACCAATATTTCCGGCGCCTTGAGCCCTACACCATACCATGTACAGCATAAACTGGGCAACTAATCTACAGGCCTAAGCCCCCGCCACGTGGCTCGGCAAGGGTGATCGATCGATTGACCGATCCACCACTGGGCGGATTGAGCCTGGGAAGGGGTGAGAGACAAGGACGTACGACTGCCGTGTTCCATCCTTTTCTTCTAAGCTGCGGTCCCATTGACCCGGTGCTCATTTAGCAAGGCGTATGCAGCACCATCACCTTCATGTTGTCCCGAATCAATATCAATTGTTGATCCCGGGAATCTCTGTCTCTCACAGTTGCTTTGAGGCATGGCGCACAATGAGCCGGGAACTGGCACCGCCGACGGTGAAGAGGTCATTGAATTGTCCTACTCGTCTTCCCCCTCAGACGAACTTTGGCACTGACTGAACGGTTACTTATATAGTACGAGACCGAAGATTCAGGCTTCTATGAAGACATCTCCCTCCTGACTGAATCCCTCCGCTCGTCTATCTACCACTATAGATACGAAAATGGCCGCCGATATCATGCCTACAAGGAAGGCTCGTATTTCATGCCCAACGACGAACCGGAACAAGAGCGCCTGAACATGCAGCATGTCGCAGGGTATCTTGCTCTCCGAAAGCGCAATTTCCTCGCTCCGCTGTCCAACCCTGGCCGGATTTTGGACCTCGGAACCGGCACGGGGATCTGGGCCATTGAGATGGGGGATCAGTTCCCCGACGCTGATGTCCTGGGGGTTGATTTGAGCCCTATCCAACCCAATGCGGTGCCGCCCAATGTCAAGTTTGAGGTGGACGATGTCGAGGATAACTGGACGTTCCACGAGAATTCTTTCGACTTTATCTTTTCCAAGGATATGTTGGCGGGCAGCATTGCCAATATTAGGAACTATTTGGAGCAGGCGTATAAGTGAGTAGACCTCCCAGCCCTTCACTCTTCACTCCACGGGTTGGCCTGTCTTTGACCGCCATCCAGCAATGACTGATCCATAGCAGGCATTGCAGACCAGGCGGATACTTGGAGCTCCACGAATTCAACATGGACATCCGCAGTGACCACTACACCATTCCAGAAGACAGCAACATCAAGCAGTGGCGCGCGCTGATGGAACAGGGAATCCAAGTCATGGGCCGCCATCTGGACCTCAAGTTCGATGAGATAGCAAACTTGCTGCGCGAGGTTGGGTTCGAAGATGTCACGGTCAGGCCGTACAAGCAACCAATTGGACAATGGCCGTCAGACCCGGTCCTGAGGCAATCCGGGACAATTCAACTCCTAGCCTTGCTGGAGGGCTTGGAGAGTATGAGTCTTGCTGTCTTCTCGCGTTGCTTGCACTGGTCCAACAGGGACGTGGAGGTCTTGCTCGAGAAGACCAAGCGGGAATTGACCCTGCGTAGGGCTTGCTATTATTGGCCTGGGTGAGTCTTGTCTGGGTTTGAGTCTTCCGACAGCTCATGCATGCTGAAATGGACTGCTGCTGATCTGATTAGGGCCGTTATCTATGCGCGCAAACCGGAACCCTCGCCGCCCTGATGGACCTCGACCGCTGCTCAAGAACAATCGCGCATACATAAGAGAAGACATCGATATATCCCTTGCGTGCGACACTGGCAGCCCGTACTGCTACGTGCTACAAAAGTTTGCGCAGTTTGATGGCCAATCTTTGAGACAAGGTATATATTGTTTGGGTGTAACGCACCGGAACGGCATCTCAGCTGATGCCAGGAGATCACCCGGACAAGTCTCCAAGATATTGCGAAACCCTTACCCTGGGCTAAGGCCCAGTCCTAGATCGGTTGGTCAAGAAGCGCGCCTCGAGCCACCCAGCGATAGTGATTCCGCAAATCTCAGGCATCCACGTTCATTCGATCCTGGCTTCAATCGGGAACAACAGCACGATTGAATGGTGCACTTGAGGAGACAAGCGGTCTTTTCCAACGCAATATCGCAATACAGGTCGACGGGTTCAAGCACCACATATGCGGAGTCAATCTGCTGGGCGCTCTACGGACCGCTCCCGAGAGAGCAAACCATTTTGCCGTGCCACCAATGCTGGGACAGGCCCATCACGGCTCTCCGTTCCGAATTTTTGAAGATACAAGATGAATTTGCAACCACCAATCGCCATCAGGATAGATAGATGACGGCATCGAGAGGCTAGAGGTCGGCCAGCAAGGCTTCGTATCAGCGTGATTGTCATCTGAAGATGCATTGGCCAGGGGCGCTGGATGATGTGGAAAATTCTATGTAACAACTACCACAGCTCAAAGTAGGGACAGCGGTGGGCGTCCTCTACGAATACCATGATCGTAAAACATGCTCTTTTTCATTGCAGAAATAGGAGTGAAATGCAGTGGCCAACTTTGACTTATGTACCTACCTCACATGTACGGGACGGATACATAACTGAGAGTTTGTGGGAGACTCCGGGCTTGGTCCAGGGGCTCCTAAGGCTTCAGGGCTCTTGGGACTTAGGGGCTATGGGCTTAGGCTCAGGCCCTTAGGCTTGTAAGGCCCCTTAGCCTAAGCCTAAGGATTGTGATAAGGCTTGCACACAAGGCTAGGGGTTGAGGAGGCTAGACCTCGACCAATTATCAGAACGGCGCTCGCCTGCCTTCTATCATCGTGCTGGCACATTAAGTGCGTCGTCTCCCCGTCTCCCTTCCGTTGATCTCAGCTGCCTTACCGGCCGTGTTAACAGCACTCGAAATGTACAGGCACCTACTACCAGCCTCACCCTCACCTTCGCGACCTCCTCGCTGTGGAAATGGAGCCCCTGATAGAGTCGCCAGGGCGCGATGAGGAGGAAATCGCCGGCGACCACGACGAAGGACATCTTCTCCTACGTTTGCGCGGAACACGCGCCCGTCGAACCCATCCTGACGACGTCGACGATGGAGCACCGGTGCTGTCCGATTTCATGCGTGCGATCCTCCCCAGGGCCCTACAGAATACCGTCCGGGCCTTGAATCTGTGGTTGCAGGGGCCTCATCGCCCTGAAAAACAACATATCACCCCACTACAGTGGATGCCGCCATGGTTGCAGGACAAGCTTAGCATCAAGAGACAGGGTGTTTTTGTGACTGCGATATTTCTGGCGTGGGCCATCTCTTTCTCCGCTGTCGTGTGGCGATGGTCTCTACTGCCTGAGCTCCGCGGCTACGGTCAACCTCGTGCGATCCGGTGTATGCAACAAGCTTGGTGAGTGCGACCTTTCACCTTCTCTGCTGAATTGGGCCTTTGCGACCTTCTATCTTCTCTGCCGAGCTGGGCCTTTGGTGCTGATGACGGCCAGGTCGATCAACGACAACTGCGGTCTTGACGGGGTAGACTGCCGTCCCTTCTCCAACGCGACCTTTGCCTATCACTGCTCCCCTGGCTGTGCGACCCAGCAAGTCTGGTATCCTCACACTGTGGGTGACCAAGAGGTCGTCTACCGGCAGCTGGTTGTCGGAGGCGCCTCGACCGAGTCTGCGTATTCAGGCATCTATCGCGCTGATTCAAGCATCTGCCAGGCGGCGATTCATGCAGGCGTACTTAGCGACAGCTATGGAGGCCCCGTCGCCCTGAGACTACTGGGTGAGCACACCGGTTTCCAAGCCATTGACCGCAATGGAGTTCATTCTGTTGGGTTCGATGCCGATTTCCCAAAAGCTTTTGCATTTATATCCTTGGCCAGCACCGAGATAGGGTCATTCGACGTTCGTTGGCCAATGCTCGTCTTCTCAGTTCTCGTCACGAGTCTCATCTCCGTCTTTACGAAATCCCCCGCTGCCTTCTTCACGCCAGTATTCATCATCTTATTTATGCATGTCAGTTTTGTCTCAGACAAGCCGGAACTGCCAGCCTTTGCAGAATTGTTGTCTGTCTCTGCGGAACGATTGTTACCAGCATCGTTCGCTGCCTTTGTAATATATTTGTTCTGTGTTCGTCTGCAACTGTCGGACCTAACCTCTCATTTCGACAAGACGGTTCTGTGGCTAGGAGCCGCATGGTTTGGGGCGCTCGAAAACTACACGTTGGACCACATCCCCATTCGACGACTAACTCCAAGCGATCTACATTCACAGCCCGGCGCTATCCTTGCGCTGACGATTATCGTGGTCCTGATCTTGGCCATCGCCATTGGTCAGATATACTACCTTCGCCGTGAGGGCCGTCTCATTCGATATTTAAAAGTGTACGCCTTGCTTGCTGGCATGCTGGTCTGTGCCGCGGCCATTCCATCCGTCCACTTACGCATTCATCACTACATTCTGGCCCTGCTACTGCTCCCTGGCACAGCTATTCAGACGCGGCCTAGCCTGCTATACCAAGGCCTTCTGGTGGGACTGTTCATCAATGGAGTTGCACGCTGGGGATTCGCATCCATCCTACAGACGGACGCCGCCCTCCGTGATCTCGATGGGCCGTATGGATCACCCCTTCCAAATGTCACAGCAGTCGTGGCTTCGGATCTCTCGGCCGTGGACTTCCATTGGTCCCAGCCCCCAGAGCCATACCAGGGACTGAGCGTACTCGTCAACGACGTTGAGCGATACAGGTGGTATAGCGATCTTGATGGACTGAATTACACCTGGAGCAGCAGTCCCGCTCGACGCAGTAGGAGTTATTTCCGATTCGCCTATGTGGCTGATGGTCATGCTGTCGATTACACTAGAGCTGCAATCTGGGAGTTGGATGGCACGTGGAATACTACTCTCTGGGATCTGTGAGCCTTGATCGGGCAGATCGAGCTGTTTCTCCTCTTCCTGTCCTCTTCCTATCCTCCTCATCATCAATATTTGAAATCTCCTAGTGGCCGCACAGGACGGGCCTCGGGAACGGCTGGAGAATCACCAAGTGGTTGCACAGACAAGGCCTCAGGAACGGCTGAGAATCACCAAGTGGTTGCACAGACACGGCCTCAGGAACGGCCGAGAATCACCACATATGCAAAACAATGTCAATGTCAAATTCATCCATTCTGGATCAATAGAATCATTATACTCCGTAATTACGTGCACAATCCATCGAGAGGTGAGACATTATTTGATTCTGTTTTGTCTATTCTTCGGCTCCATGTAATGCAATGCAATGCAGGCCCATGCTTTGATTTGGTCTTGGGTCCTTTTTTCCAGGCGCCGGCGAGCAATCCAACAGACTCCTGCTGAAGCCCTGGCGCCATGTCCAAGTACTATTTACATTTTGTTGTAGACACATGTCTTTTCGGTTTCATCTATCCCCCGTATTGCCAAGACCACCAAGTGACTTATATCTGGGTCGCCATGCTTGACGAGGACGAGATGCAAGCAACGGAACCGACGAACCGAACTCAGTATTGTCTGGCAGCTTGCTGGCATGCCTTCAATTGCTCCAGATACCAACCACAGATGGTCATGTTACCCTGGTTCTGGTTCATGCAATCGGTAAAGCTCTTGATGTCGGTGGCACAAGGACCCGTAGCGTCGGACGACGAGGATTGAGTGTACAAGGCATTATCCATGGCTTGGCCGGTGCGGGAGTAAGAGTCGGTGGGAAGCTGTTGCTGTTGTTCGACCGGGGCGGAAGAAGAGCCACCGCTGAAGAAACCGCCGATGGCGTGGCCGATGGAAGAGCCGACTGCGACGCCGCTGTTGACACAAACAGTCAGTATATTTGAAAATATCGGCGCGAGATTAACAGACACAGCCATATAAATGACAAATATCATGCGAGGTTCACACAACCCAGCCAGTATAAATATCAATCATCAAAACCCAGCCATGGTATGGTATGGTTTGAGTTGGTGATATAGTATGGTATGGTTTGGGTTGCGGATCTCGCTGAACAAAGCAACACGCCAAACAGAATCGGCAACAACTTACGCAGCTGTGCTGGCCATCTGACCAAACAGCCCTGGCCCCTGAGACGCCTGAGCCTGAGCCGGCGGCGGGTGAGCAGCTTGTTGCTGAGCAGGGGCTGCAGCTGTGGTCGACATGGGTCGGTGCTGCTGTTGTGGCGCTACAGACCGAGGAGCTGGAGCGGCCGTCGGCCTGGAAGGCGCAGAGCGCGCGGGACCACGTTGGCGAGCCATTTGGAAGGAGGGGGAGAGGAGGATGTGTTGGGAGAAGACGTGAAGGTAGATGTGTGGGTAGAGTAGAGTAGATCGGGGGAGCCGTGTCAAAAGATGAGGTCGACGAGAGAAAATGAATGAGGGTGAAGGTGAGGGTGAGGTGTAAGGTGTATGTAGGGAAGCGCAGGCTACGGCGCAGGCTTGCGGTTCTGTGAACTTCTATCCAATAAGGTACCCAGTAGCCAATAGGCAGTATCGTAAAACCAGCTCGTAGCTTCAACCCGAATCGGCAAGAGGATGATGCCGCCCTGTCCTCACCTCGGCTTAGCCACTACAGTGTCCGGAGTAGTCGTGGTACCCTTAAGCCTCACGTTAAATGTCCGGAGTACAGATACTCACGTCGCTACATGTCCGGAGTACAGATACTGTGTAGACTTCTCTTCGAGTCTGGTGTCGCTGCGCCGACTCTGTCAAGGGAGTACTGTGGCGATCTGACCAGACAGGCCACCGAATATGGGGCGCGCCGACAACACGAAATGCGCCGTCAATAAAGCTATACGGAGTGTTGATTCGACGAAACTGGTAACTGGTTCCTCGCCGCTTTCGCCTACTAGGTATTTTAGTCTTGGGATTTCATCTATCGTCCGGTTGAACCTCTCTGCAGTCTACACCGATGGTGATGGCCCAACATAAGAGAAAGAGGACAAGAAGAGGACGGAGGGCAGGAAGAGGACAGAGGGCAGGAAGAGGACAGAGGACAGGAAGAGGACAGAGGACAGGAAGAGGACAGAGGACAGGAAGAGGACAGAGGACAGGAAGAGG